CCAGCGTTTTCAGAACCTATTCTGGCTTTTCTCGAGAAATTTTCTGGATCTCAGCAACAAGGGAGATAATTTCATTATCTTGAGTAGAGTACAAATATATAACTAAAAGCTACACTTGTTACGAAAAGATTGAGATTTCATACTAGCAACTTATGTTCAGGAGAAAAAGAGACTTGAAGGGTCGGTTATTGCTTTTTTCAAGAACTATAGTGTCTGGCAGAAGTATAGAAAAGGGGTAAGCTGATAACAACCTCAATGAATCTTTAGGCAATTCTTAGACAGTCAGAAAACATCTTTGTAAATGAATAATTTTTAGCAAAGAAAACAATAGCGTTTCAAAGTGGAGACAGATTTCACACAATCACTTTTATCCTATTGTGACGAAAACTATTTTTTTATTATCATTTTAAACGTTCTTAGCATTATGCAAAGGTCCTTACACTTCTCATCATACCTGCTATTTGAATGTTATGAAAAAACCTAAAAGTAGCACTCTCGATTCTGATTGACCTGTCAGCATACCATAGTTTTATCGTGTATCTATTAGTGTTAAGTTCCATAGAACATTGATGGGACATAAAAGAATAGTTTATGCATTACTTTGAAAGGACTGAATGAATCATTCTGCTAGAAAGTACTAAACAATTAATATTTTCACATTTTACATCAAATGTACTACTAAATTTCGGTGTGGAAGAGTTTGATTTGATTGAATCGAACTCAACGATACACATGTTGGGTGGACGATTGAAGGTACTCAATAGGAAAATCTAACTTAAGCTGTTTGCGTATCATTTACTAAGATAGTGTATGGATGACAAAACTACTAGTACTAGCTTCAGTACTGGCATTGAAAGCGTCCGATATCAGGTTTAAATATATCCCTGAGAAGTCATTTCAGTGATACTGTAGTGAAGGAAAACACAGGTGGGGACAACATATTATGTGTTTAGAACAAATTACAAAGTTGCTTCATAAAATAGGAAAAGCAAACTCTGATACTTCATTTGCAAAAATGTTCATTAATTGTCTCAGGCTTCATTTTCCATGGATTTTCACACCAATTGCTTTCTGTTTCTGTTCTTCCTTTCTCGATTTTCTCAATCTTCTGCCACAAGATATTTTATTCCTGACTCGCGATATATTCTACTTATGTTGATATATGTAGCCCACACCACAATACCCAAAATAGAGCTGGTTGGTGTGTTTTCTTTTTCTTTCAGATGTATTATGGCTCTTCGGGTTACAACTAACTTTTATCAATCATAGACTATGACCTTGTATTTTGTTGATGACCCTAATTCACTGGGTAATAAACTCTATAAACGAAGGTTCGTTGAAGTGGTATTTTGGTGAATGATTTAATTTATATGTTAAATTTGTAACAGAGTGTTCTCAGTGGGGGATAACAGTTGTTTCGTAACAGTGGGCACCCACGGCCTCATCTGAGATAGAAATAAGAACCTTAACATGTTGAAACGAACTATTATAAAAACACTCAGCTGGCATTCAAATGAAGTTAATCTGTTATAAATACAACCTACGAAATATTTTACTGGATTTGAAGGACTTCTGGCATGCATTTCAGGTCAAATACTTATAAAAGTACTCGGCTGTTCATCAGTTTATATAACAAACAGATAGATGATTGATCCGATTATTATCTTACTAAGCAAAGGTCTAGCTGAATATCTGACTAGTCGTCAGTAATTTCCATTTTTCTAATCTTAAAAAAAACATTGAGTGACTCTCAAGTGTATTCATTACTAAATAACATAATTACAAAAATCAATATCTGTAGACATGACTACTTATTGATTACTTATCATTCATTGTTTCCCGAATCCAACTTAACTTTAGTGTCATTCTGAAATGAAACTCTGGTGAAGTAGTTTTTAATTAGATAGTGAAACGTACTATTCTAAACTTTTCCTAGTTTACATACGACACAGTGATTTGGCGTGTTGTTGTCTGTGTTACTGATTTATTTTCAGTCAGTTAGCGTACTGCTGAGGATCTCACACTAGGACGAAACAGCTGTTCAATGCTTCCAAGATTTCAGAGGTGACTTTGATCAGTGCATGGTTTCAATGAAACCCTGTTTGAATTAGATTCAGAGCGATATTAAAACGCTATCAATCCTCTTGAGATCAATCCGTAAAAAACAAAGTGTAAATCAAACAAGTTTTAAAGCTATAAGACTTACTGTAGAATATTTTCCGATACTGACTACTTCAAATTATCCTATAGTATTCATCATATATTAGATGGAAGCGATAAGGGTTAGTTGACTGATTAGATTTTGAATTGCTACACGTTCAAATGGTCAAAATGTCTGTAACATTTGCCAAGTTATCTTTGATAGCAAAATGTCATCTTGACTAATATAAATTTTATAAAAAGCGGTGAGACTGTGCTGTGTACTACTGATGTTCACAGATATAAGTAGTATGTATCACTAGTTGAAAGTGGAATACCTGGCTGCAGAAGGGTAAGAAAATTGACGAGAATAGAACGAGAACAGGGAGCGATTGATATGAAAACGAAGGAACAACAAAATCTGAGACGATTGATGGATATTTTACAAATGAAGTATTTACTGTATGGTTCTCAGATTTTACCAAGATATTCTGTAATTTTGTATTCAAATACATTTGACTGTTCCCGCTAGTGCTATCGCTACCACACAACGATGATTATTGCCATGAAAAATTAAAATTTTATCAAACATTACTCTGTAATAATATACGGCGAGATTATAATTTGCAGACAACCTTTGAGTAACGCTGAAGTGGCCTTGAGAACGTCCAACTACTAACTAGGACTAAATGAGGGTTATAAACCATTTTGAGGAATTAGAATTATGATTTAAAGTTGATGGTTAGTGTTAGGAATAAGATTTAAGGTTTTCATCAGGATTTGATGTTAGCTAAAAGGCCAAAACGATATTTAGCCAAATGAATGAATTTCGCTCCAGAATCCATGATCTGTTATCTTATATCTGATTGGCTTATCTATAAATCCTAGTTTTGTCGATCAAATCGTCAAAAGCACTACAACGACAAAATTAAATCTACGTTCTAAGTCATTTTCTCTTTGGATTTGATTTAGATTATTTCAAACCAGTTAAGCAAAAATATGGAGTAAAGGTTATGATTAGGGGATTGAAAAAATGGTTTCCCCTAATTTACAATACCTAGAAAAATTATTTGACAGATGAGTTACACTAGTTGCTACAAGATGGAATGTCGACAGAATATTAAAGATATAGTCAATCACAATCATCTGCCGATAGTTTGAAATAATATTTCTAAATATAATTCGGAATAAAAAAAACCGTAACCTCAAACATTCGATTATTGATAATTATTCTAAAGGTGAAATATTCCTATATACTACTGATCACAAGGTTAACAGTTTGAAGATGCTGTGGTAATTATCCAAATCCAGTCAGCTAAAATGGCTGAGCATAACAATTGAGAGAAAAAAACAATGATCGGAATAGCTAAGGCTTAATAATGTAAGGTTAATAAGTTATTTCAATTCTAATAGTTGAGATCATGAGTCTATTGAAGCTAGACCACCATGACAAACCTGGAAGAACTGGACGACCGTTTCGTCCTATTCTTTGGCTCCTCAGCAGTGCTCATCCACGATCCCACCTCGCGAGATTCGAAACCAGGACCTATCAGTTTAACCACTAGACCACTAAGCCAGCATCCAACAGTGTTTAATACATACCAATAAAGTAGATGACGTCATAACATATAATAATGATCAAATGACTAATCATAATTGATACCCAAGACTACTTTAAAGTTTCAGTTTCAACTAGATAAACTAAAATATCGGTTTTCTGATTGTTTTCTGATGAGAATCAGAAAATAAAATCATATTAATTTATTCACGACCTTAATCCTGGTTCATTTTCTTTAAACAACAGTCAAAATAAACTGATGCACAACCACAACAGAAACAATTATCACACAAAATTAACCTAGAAGTTATGGTAAAAAACAAACAGCCAAATTAGCATACGACATTCAAAGTATTTTTAAACACCACAAGTGTTACAAACGTATGAGAACTGTATTTTCCTTGTTTGCATTATTCAATGTTTAAAGGTTAGCGAGCCGCAGACTCGATATTTGACGTAGAGTGTTGTACAGACTGCAGAAAAAAAGAAACTGGCACGGTAAGCAGAACCACTGTAAGAACCACTGCTTTAAAGGAGGGGACGAGTGTGGTTTGTGCTACTTATATCGACATAAGTAGTATATAACTCTAGTCAGTAATAGAAAGTTAAGAAGATTAAAGAAAAGAGAACTAAAACAATGAATGATTTATATGGAATCAAAAGAACAATGAGTTCTTAAACGATTGACTGTTATTTACAAAAGCAACAGTCATGTTTGAGACAATGGATTGATATTTTGCACATAAAGTATTTACTGCATGGGTTTTAGATGTTCTTTAACTTTGTGTTTAAAATACATTCGATTGTACCCACACTTGTCTTCTCATTCATTACGATACATAACAACTAGATCCAAAATCAAACTCAAGACTTTAAAGTTTCACAATGTGCTAATTTCAATTTATAATGAATATAAAAAAATTTAAGATTATTTTCATTATTATCAGAATGGGTTTTGTGGAGATTTAGTATTTTCATAGTTGCAATCATGAGTCAATTGAAGCTAGATCACCAAGGAAAACCTGGAAGCACTGCTTAAAGGCCGTTTCGTCCTATTATGTGACTGCTCAGTCGTGCGCATCCACGACCTCGCCTCGCGAGTGAGATTCGAACCCAGGACCTACCATTCTCTAGCAAGAGCACTTAACCGATAGACCACTGAGCCTGCCGGTATCCAACAGTGTTAATGTCTATCTTCAACTGATCCACGAAGTTGAACAACCGTTCTCCACAAAACCCCTTCTGATATTATACATATATATTATTATTTATACATTTAATCAACATCACAAATCAAACTTACGGTGATACAGTTTCTTCTGGCATTTGTCAATGAGAATTAAACTGTTTGTTTGGGTGTTTTTTTTTATCCTAATAAATACATTAAAATATGTCCCGTTGATGAATTTGAATAATGGTAGAAACCAAATGATGTATAAGTTTATCCTTTATTATTTGAAACAAAAAAATGTGGTTGTTGCTGTCGTTGCCGTTGTTGTTGTTGTTGTTGTTGCTGGGGCAAACACTACTACTAATGTAACTAATTTACTATAAAAATTATAAAAATTTACATTAAGATAGATAGATACTTTAAAAAAAAAAAAATCACTAACTCTAATAATAGTTTCCAACTTCATTTATCATTTGCCCAGCCCAATTTTAATCAATACAACCAATCAAAATAAACCATTTATTGAAAGGTATGAGTTTAAATTATATATTAGAATTTAAAAGAGTTAATCGATACTTCATAGGTCATATCTCTATGAGTTTTTTTTTATATTCTTTTATATTTTTAAGTTTATCACTCCTTTCATTCTTATAGTAGAGTAGCAATCTCCTCTCTTATTAATCAATATTATAGAAAAAAATTTTCTCCCCCTTCCTATCTGTATATGTTATTATGTCTATCCTAGTCATATATGAATTTGATTCATAGGGGGGGGATTTCTAATAAGATTGAGTGGGAGGTTTTTTTTTCCTATCGATATAACATTATCTGCCTGATTATTTTGATTAGCTGACAGGATCAGTTATTTTTTTTATTTTTTTTAAAAAAAATTGTCTTTAATAGTCGGATTCATGAGTCGATTGAAGGTAGAGCATCATGGGAAAACTTGAAATCATGAGACGGGTGTTTCATCCTGGGTATAGGACTAGTGAGCTATGTGAGACCATGATCCCGTACATGGAATTCCAATTCAGGATATTCGATCTCACGAGTGAACACTTAACCTCTAGACTACTAAGATGATATCCAACGGTGTTAATGTCTAACTTCAACTAATCCATGATATTGCATCACTGTCCACCATTGTCTTCAATAAGTAACTGTCACACAACAGACACGCTGAACTTCATTTGTTACTGTTTTTTACTAGAACTTCTGGAAATACCTCTTGAATACAGTCACTAGTGAGCATCCTGATTTTCCATGGTGGTTTAGCTTTAATCGACTAATTAATTCAACTATTGAATTACTACAATCTCCATAAAACCTCCTATGTGACATAAATATCTTTCTTAAAATAATAAAAAACTAAGATAAGGTAAGAGAAGTTTTTATTTATTTATTTAAACACATAAATATTGGTACATGAGGGCACCAGATATATATGCGCCACACAAATCTCATTCGATTTGTGTGAGGGCTGTGATACTGTCCAGGTGCCCAAACTGAAACAGGTAATTTTCCTAGGGGGTCACACCTAGAGCCTTTGACCTAAAGATTTGATCCATAAGGCAGTTGAGCATCGTGAGGAGATGCAGTTCCATGGTAGCCGGTGACCAACGATTGATTCGTACGCCATTTGTTTCCTCAGGATACTGGAGCCCATGTGCACCCATGGTTTGGAATCAGGGTTTTCCAACTCACCTGAGTGGACTTTCCGTGTCCACTAATCCTGTTAAAGCTCCAGGCATTCGCTTTTCGTCCTCTCAATTTCATGAAGAACACCCCCGCCACTGTGAGAAGGCAGTGAATAGGACTTCCCTGTTAGAGGCTATATACACGTGGCATTTGGAGAGGGAGAGCGGACTCTTCCCACTCACGGCCGTACCAGGGGATTCAGTGAAGAAAATCTTCTTTTTGATGAAATCATTTACTTAATTTGTACATTCGTCTTTATAGTTGTATGGTAAATAATTATGTCTATAGAAAGATATGTCATTTCTATCAAGTGAACAATTATCTTTCCTAATTCTGACCTGTAAATTATTTTCGTCTTTCTGTTTTTCGCTTTATCCCACTCTCCTGATTTTTACGCAACTTCATTTGGTATTTAAAGTCTAGAATCACTTTATAATCTAATCTTTTCTATTCTTCTATAGACATATATTAGTCATACAACTATAAATACAAATGTACAACTTAAGGAAATGATTTCATCGAAAGTAAAATTTTCTTCACTAGATCCTCTTTATACTGATTCAGTAACATATTGGGTTATCTTAAGAGTTTAAGTACTCTAATGTTTGGTAACATGACTGCTGACAATTGATATTATTATTAAAAAAACAAGTGTATCTTTAGTGGAATCAAAAACTGACTCAATGTTTTTCTGATTCATACATGTATTGAATACTTAATCTATTTGTTTATTTGACAAAAGATAAAAATCCCATTTAACCTTTCAATTACCATCGAAGGTTATATTATTTATTTTGTCAAGTTAGGTTAGTAAAACTAACGATAAAGTATGGTCCCACATGGATTTCTATCAGACGTTTTAATCTATGTTGGGAACATGAATTCGACTTGTCCCAAGTCAACTTCTTTACTCCACTTAACTACTTAACTGAGGTTGGGAAATTACTAACACTAATTATTTGATGAACTCCGCCCGGAACCCCTCTGCGACTAATGCCGATTCCAAGCTTGGATAAAGAAGGAGTGTTGGGTACAGAGTTAACGACCCCATCCTGTAGGAAACTAACTCGCTAAAAAACGCCAATCAGAAAAAAATAATTCAAACCATTTAAACTCCATCTTGGGAGTTAGAAAGTCTTCATAATGAAAGCTGAGTTCCTTCAGAAGTCACTAGTTTGAGACCCCTTTCTGACAACGAGAGCAACCATTAATTTAGGTACATAGAATGCTCGTACAGTGTGGGAGACCGAGAGAGCCATCCGAATTGCTTCAGAAATGAAAATATACAACTTGGAGGTGCTTAAAATCAGTGAAACACATTGGACGCAGGTTGAACAACAAAGACTAGCTTCAGGTGAGCTTTTGTTATACCCCGTCCATGAAGAAGAAAATGCTCCACATACACATATTGATGCTATCTAAACAAACACAAAAAGTACTTGTAGGATGGGAATCTCATGGAACCAGGATCATCAAAGCATACTTTAAAACAAAGAAAGAGGGCAATAAAATGAACGTCATCCAGAGCTATGCGCCTACTAACGATTACAATGAAGACATTAAAGATCAGTTCAACAATGGGCTGCAGTCAATCGTTGAGAAACGCCCAACAAAGGACTTGATCATTCTGATGAAAGACCTAAAATACAAGGTTGGAATGGACAACACCGGATATGAAAATATCATGGCACGACATGGACTGGGAGAAAGGAATGAGAGTTATGAGAGATTTTCAAACCTACGTGCCTTCAACAAACTAGTCATAGGAAGCACAAACACATACATAAAGCTACATGTGTCTCACCGGATCACACTACACAAAACCAGATCGATCACATTTGCATCACTAAAAAATTCAGAAAGTCGATGGAAGACGTGCGAAGCAGGAGAGAAGCTTCAGATCACCACCTGGTGGTTGTCAAGATGAAACTGAAGCAAAAAAGGCAGTGGAAAACTCGGAGAACATCATTACAAATGTTCAGTATAGCCATTCTTCGAGATACGGACAAACACAATCAATTCAAGACAGCTCCCATCAGCAGTTTCCAAGCCTTACAGAATCTATTGAAAGAAGAAGAAACTGCCATGGGGGACAACTGGGAAGGTAAAAAAGAAGCACTAACTTCCGCGTTTCAGGAGGTCTTCGGCTACAAGAAGCATCATCATAAGGATACTCTGGACGAGATTGAAGAAAGTAGGAACAAGAAGACTGTGATCTACAACAACCGAACAAGAACAGAGAAAGTTGGGGCACAGGCTGAATGAACAGAAACAAACAAGTCAGTGGAGGGGAGCGTTAGAGCCGACAAGCAGAAGTATGTGGAAGACCTAGCAGCGATATCAGGAAGAGCTGCAAGAGAAGGAAATATGAAACAACTATATGACACAATGAAGAAACCACCAGGGAAATATAGTAAGCCAGAAAGACAAGTGTCGAAAAACCGGAAAAAAGGATACCTCATCAAGATGCAAAATAAAGATCTGAGCAAGTAAGAGAACTATGGAGACATCACACTACTATCTGTATCAGGAAAAGTCTTCAACTGTGCTGTTGAACCGAACGAAGGATTCGGTAGACGCTCAACTTCAACATCAACAGACCGGACTCTGTAAAGATCGGTTGTTCACAGACCGAATTGACACACTATGGCTCATCTTTGGACAATTAACTGAATGGAATTCGTCACTACATATCAACTTCCTTGACTGTGAGAAGGCATTTGATATTGTGGATAGAAGAACCTCATTGGGCGTTATTCGGCATTCCGGTGTACATGAAAAAGTCATCAACATCACACAGGATTTACACGATGGAATACACTGCAAGGTTGTATATTTAGTACAGTTGACAGATGTATTCCAAGTGAGGACCGGAATCACACAAGGCTGCCTACTCTACCATTTTTCTTTCTTTTAGCGGGTTAACTGGATTATAAAGACCTCGACACCAGACTGGAAGCATCGAATACAGTGTACAGGTCAGATAAAACTAGACGATTTGGACTTCTCAGATGGCTTGACCCTTCTATTTCACGCGCAAAAACAATTTCAGGTCAAGGCAACTAGTGTATCAGCGGCCTCAGAAGCAGTAGGTCTCAACATACACACATTCTCCAATACAACACAACATGCACCAATCGAATTACACTTGACGGAGAAGCTTTGGAGGATGTAAAATTTTTTTACATATTTGGGCAGCATCATCGATGAACACAGTGGATCTGATGCAAATATGAATGCTCGGATCAGGAAAGCAAGAGTGGAATATCTACAATTGAAGAACATCTGGAACTCGAAACAGCTGTGAAACAACACCAAGATCAGAATTTTCAATACAAATTTCAAGACAGTTCTACTGTATGGGGTGGAAACTTGGAGAACTATGAAACCATCATCGAAAAGACACAAGTGTTTATTAACAGTTGTCTACGCAAAATACTTCGGATCCGTTGGACAGACACTGTCATCAACAACCTACTGTAAGAGAGAACAAGTCAGATTGCAGCAGAGAAAGAAATCAGGAAGAAGCTCTGGAAGTGATAGGATACACATTTTAAAAAATAGTGGACTGCATCACAAGGAAAGCCCTCACTTGGAATCCTCAAGGTCAAAGGAAAAGAGGAAAACCAAAAAATACATTACTTTGAGAAATGGAAACAGATATGAGAAGAATGAATAACAACTGAATAGAACTAGAAAGGAAGGCCCAGGACAGAGTGAGCTGGAGAATGCTGGTCGGCGACCTACGCTCCGTTGGGGTAACAGGTGTAAGTAAAAGTAAGTAATTATTTGATAAACTGACAGTCAGAAGTCGCTCGTAGAAGTATGTGTATAGCTAAATTAGCCTACTTGGAAAAGCATTCTTTCCTCTAGTTAAATTTCAAAAAGAAATTTGTAGGTAGATATCGGGAACTATGTTTTGAAGATTG